AGCTCGACTCCCTTCATCGTCAGTCCAAATGGACAAGGATTTTGTCATTTGCGTTGCGCAGGCAGATGAGAAAGGTCACGGTGGTTGTGCCCTCTGGCTTTCAAAAAATGTGCCATTTGCACACCACCATGGACAACCTGTTTTCTTCCGGGAGGAGCATGTTACGATTGTATCCTGCTCGCCCCGCCACATCACAGCCAGCCTTGTTTCTCCGCATTTGCGCCTGTACGTTCTTGTTGTGCACGCCCCCACAGCGTCCCACGCTCCTCTGGAATTGATCAAGCAGTTCTGGGCAGAGCGTTGTCTGGAACTTGACAGGCGCCCGGAAGGCACTGATTACATCATCCTGGCAGACGCAAACTCCAGGCTAGGCAGCGTGGCATCGCCGCATGTAGGCGATCATCAGCCGGAGGAAGAGACTCCAGCAGGTCGATTATTCCATGCTTTTCTGTCTCAGGTTGGTGCTCTGGCACCTTCCACCTTCTCTGCCTTCCACGAGGGTCCTGCTGGAACTTGGCGAGGCCCTTTTGGTCAGTGGCATCGCATCGACTATATAGTCATCCCTCAGGCCTGGCAAAGGTTTGGATTGGAGTCATCTGTCATCTCGTCTTTCGAAACTCTCCAACTTCGGGATGACCACAGGCCAGTTCGGTTGCTCTGCTCCTTCGCCAAACGTGCTCCCAGGAGCTTCCACACATCCAGCTCCCGCAAGGCCGTCAGGCCACGTAAGCCTGAGACCCCAGAAGACCAAACGAGAGTTGATGCCACCCTGAATGCCGTGCCGTGGTTTGATTGGCAACTTGACGTCGATGTTCATTGTGAAAGCCTCGCACAGGCTTGGTGCTGTTCCGGTGCATCCCTTGAGAACGAGCAACACGCTCGACCTGTCCGCCTGTATGTACCAGATTCAGCTCTTGATATCATTGATCACCGCAGAGCCCTCCAGGCTTACCTCCGCCAAGAGCGCCATGAAAGGAACCGCCGTTGTCTGATGATCTTTTTCGCGGCTTTCCTTCTGAATGCCTCCGGTGGGACCTTCCAAGAACTCTCGCGTAGCAGGGCTGATGAATGGCTGGCCGCCATGCATTACAGTGAGGCCCTTGCACTGGCGCTTTACCGTTGGTATGGGCACCGACTCCGGGAAGTCATCGCCTCCGGAAAGAGAGCTTACCTCAAGAGTCTTATCACCGAGGCTACAGGCTGCTCTCTTCGTCAGCCTAAGGAGCTTTATGCTGCCATTCGTCGTGCCTTCCCAACCGCCAAGTCGTCTCGTCGCAATGCACTTGCCCCACTTCCCATGCTTCTAGGCCAAGATGGCGAGCCTGTGCGCACCACAGAGGAACGTGATGCCTGCTGGAGGGCTCACTTTTCTGATCAGGAAGCAGGCCATCCCGTCACTCCCTCCGAATATGTCAGGGAGCTTGGACAGCAACGACGCCTACCACAAGGGGTTTTCAGCCTCGAGGTGGTACCTACGCTTAAGCAGATCGAGCAAGTCGTACTGCGTCTGAGCAATGGAAAGGCAGCGGGGGCAGACCAAGTGACTGCTGAGCTGTTGAAGCTCTCGGCAGTAGACACTGCCAGACGACTGTTGCCAGTGATCATGAAATCGGTTTTCGCCCTGCGGGAACCGGTTTCATGGAGGGGCGGAGACTTGATCCTCTTAGCCAAGAAAGCAGGCCAGGTTCTTTCATGCGATGGCTACAGATCGGTCTTGATTGCCAGCGTTGCTGGTAAAGCCTTTCACAGATGTGTTAGAGCGCAGCTGCTTCCTCTTCTGCGTGCGTCTCAGCCTGACCTTATGGCTGGGGCAGTTGAGGGTCTTGGCATTGAATCGCCGGTTCTAGCCATACGCTCGTTCCAGTTGTGGCAGCATGGACTTCGCCGACCATGGGCTGTGATATTTGTCGATCTGCAGTCGGCATACTATGGAGTCCTGAGACAGCTTGTTGTCCAGCACACAGGCACGGAGGACGCACTCTTGAGTCTTCTGGGCAAGCTCAGTCTCCCTCCACAAGCCCTACAGGAACTGCGTGCTAAGTTGGATGCACTTGCTGAGCTGCCGCGTTTACAGGCCAGCCCCCATTTGCAGGCTGTCATATCTGATCTTCTATCGGGCACATGGTTCCGTCTAGATGGCAGGGCTCTGTTGACCATTACCGCCAGGGGGTCTCGGCCAGGAGACCCCCTGGCGGATGCTCTCTTTGCACTTACACTGTCGGCATACCTGAGGTCTGTTTCTGAGCAGCTGAACGCCGCTGATCTCCTCCCCGAATTGGGGCCACCTGTCGCTACCCCGCCGTGGCTTGACCCGATCCAGAACCTTGATATCGGAGCTCCTGCCTGGGCGGATGACTATGCCCTGCCACAGACCGGTGACACGGCAGAGCGACTCCTACAGAGGGTTGTTGCCACAACCGAAATCTTGGTGACCCATGCCAGATCGCTTGGCATGGTGGTCAAGTTTGGACTGGAGAAGACTGCTGTCTTGGTTACCTCGGCCATCGTCCGTTCTCAGTACCCAGCCATCCATTCGGATTCGGAGTTTCCGCATTTCCTTTGGGTCAAAGATGGCATTGATGGCTCCAGGAGCAAGCTTCCCGTTGTTGAGGCGTATAAACATCTCGGGGGCATCGCTACCTCGAACTGTTCTCCTTTGCCAGATTTGTACCACCGATATGCCCGGGCATCTGGGATTGCCCAACCCTTGCGTCGGAAGTTGTTTGGCTCGCACTCTTTCGACATCTCGGTCAGGCGCTCTTTGCTTCGAGCACTCACGATTTCGAAATACATTCATACGAGCGCCGCCCTTGTGCTCAATGCAGCTGTCCACCAGCGCATTTGGGACCGGCAACTGCTTGCCCTCTGGCGCCACTTGTGCAGGCGAGAGTCGGCGGAGAAGCAGGACCACCCTTTTCGAGTCCTCCATTTGGCCAAGGCGGTTTCTCCACCCCTTGCCATTGCTCGTACCAGGGCCTCTTTCCTCAGCAAGCTCTTCCGGCGTGGACCCCAGACCTTACTCCGCTTCCTGTACGCCCACTGGATTTCCCACCCGGCATCCTCGTGGTTGCGACAATTTCAACAGGACATTGATTACGTGCGACAATTTTGCCCGGAACTTCCCCACTTTCTCTCTGTGGGCAAAGAGGTCGAGTGCTTGTTGGAAGCCATGGCGGAGGACCCCATGTGGTGGCTCAGGAAGATTTCAAAGGCGGAGCGGCTTTTCAGAAAGGACTTGGCGCAGTGGATTGCCCATCCACCTACCTCGACTGCCCCTATACCTAGGCCCGATGCCTTGTTTCAGTGCTGGGAGTGCGGTGCCTCCTTCCCACTGAGAAAGCATTTGCATGTCCATCTTGCCAAGGCTCACCGCCTCTACAGTCCAGCCCGGCATTACACCCTGTCGCCGGCATGCATCTCCTGCTTGAAATGGTATGGTACCATCCGCCAGAGCCAGCAGCATTTAAAAAGCTCCCCTCGATGCTTAGAAAGGGCTGTCATGGTTGTTCCCCCTTTGCAGTATGCACAGATCCTTGAGCTCGAGGCTCCTGAGACCGCTGATCTGCACAGGCTTCAGCGCGGCAGTTGGAAAGGCTTCAGCGCGAGGCCTCCTCCTGCCAAAGCCCCCTTGTCCTTTGGCCCCAGATTGCCAACTGCCGAGGAGCGTTTGCAAGGACTTTCAGAGGAGGATGTGACTCTGGCCGACCTTGCCTCCCTCTTCAGGCCTCTACCGGACAATGTCAACTGGATCTCAGGCCACCTCTCTAACTCCAGCAAGGAGGGTCCTCGCCAGCACACCCGAAGGTTTTGGCAGTGTCGTCCGGTTTCGTCTCACCCGAATTCGTAGCAAGATTTTTGGGACGCGCCCTAACAAGGGCCCGATTGTCCGCAAGTCAAGTCAAGTCAAGTATACTAATTTGGGAGGCGGGGGGTCCTTATCACAATTATAGTTTCATGGGCCGGAACAACCTGTTCTAATTATTAAGGCCCCTACATTAAACAACTATGGGTTATCAGAGATAGGTACCCCGATCCTTCAAGTGGGAGTTGGAATCACGGTTTGGTCTGAAGAGCCCAGGGTTTGGGTAGGGGTTATGGGTTTAGGGTTTAGGATGGGAACAAAAGCTGTTTCGACTCTTCTCTTTAAGGGTGGAGAGTCCAGCGACGGGTTAAAGTTTAAGGTGCAGGGATCGGGTGGCTTTACTGCTCCTCGAGTCCAGGAGATGGGTATTAGGGTTCAGGAGAAGAGTTGTTCATTCACGACCGAAGGGTTACTATGAAGGAAGGGTTTAGGGTTTAGGGCTTAGGATTGAGAACTGGCGTGATGGGCATGCCCATTCCGAAAGTCGCCCTAGCCGGACACCACAGATCTGAGAGGCCCCCCCCCAAGGCATGCACAACCGTAAACATCAACGATCAAAGCTCAGCCGTACTTACCTTTGGCGCCCAGCCCTCAACCACCTCCGACAATGCAGACTAGAATAATTGGCAATGCCATTCCTTAGCACTCCTTCGTATAAGTATACTTGAGTTTAGGATTTAGGGTAGTTAGGGTACTGTTAGGATGCCTCAAAACCAGATTCCAATAATTTACGCCCCTAAATTAAGCTCGGACCATGCGGAGCATCCGATCTCAAAGCACTGGCCCCAAGCGGTTTGTCGAAAGATATGCTGATCCCCTCTTCCTAGGTAGTAGCAGGGAGACCCCTGAAATGGGGACCCTGCTGAACCCTACTAATGGCTCTCTTAAAAGGGACCTTATTTAGAGGGTCCTTATCCCCAAGGGTCCCCTTAATCCTTACTCCTGCCTCTAGGCAAAAGTTTGGGGATGTTTGGGGTTGAAGAACCCCATTATATGAGCCCTGAACCCGACACCACCAACTTGACCCCAAACGCCCCTGGCGCCAAAACAAGCAACAACAGCAGGTTCAGGGTTTAGGGTTCAGTGCCCCCTCCACCCCAAACCAAGAAACAGCAGCTGAGCTAAGAGACCTGCATAGGATGCCGACTGCAACACCTCTGCCTGGGCTTCTTGGCATCATCTTCAGCACGCGTTTGCGTGTACGCCTCGGTTGAACCGAAACACAATTTATCTCGATACCCAAGATTGCAAGTCTAGCATACACACAACCTCATTTTCAGGAACCTAAGCGTGTAGGTGCACAGGGTTAAGCTCTAAATGAAACCGTAGCATTTACGAGGGTGCTTGTGGGGTGCAGGGGTTTTCGATGCTGGATCTTTGTGTTTAGTGTTTAGACGACCACATGACCTCCAGGGCTAAGGGTTTAAGGTTTAGGGTTCATTGGGCACGCAGGGTGTGTAGTATAGGGTTGACATTGAGGGTTTGATGCTTGGGGAGGTTTTAGAACTTGGCTTTTTGGGTTTAGGATTGAGGGTTCGGGCAGTGTAAAGGGGCCTGCACTCAAATCGGGTGGAATCAACGACCTCTTCTTCGAGGGGGCTCGACCCCTTTATACTTCGTGGCTTTAGGGGTTAGGGTCCTGGGTTTGGGGTTTAGGGTCGAGTTTGCAATCATGCTCAAGGGTTGAGGGCCTCCTTACAATCCGTACGATTGTATATAGGTCGTGCATAAGTTTTCTTTGGAGTGAACATGCGAACATTACTTGCGTATTTGAGGCATGAGTAGACCTCCCAAGAAATTACATGAATCGCCTATGGACCCTTCATTTTTTGATTGGAGGAATAAGCCTGACCAATTATTTGGTTGCCTGGGGGATGCGGCTCGTTCCATATCAACCATGGACCCCTCTGTGGTATAGACGGTTCCTCACCAAACAAGGACCCTCAAGCCCCCAAGCCCTATAGAGCCCGTGAAGGAACACCTTGAAATTCCGTTCAAGGAACCATCTTCCACTTGTTAAGGCCCCTATTTGGGTAGTTCTTTAAATTTGGGTTCCTTTGTAGGTCCCAGAAATAGTACGGCACCCTTATAAAAAGGAACCTAAAAGGGACCTGAATTCAGAGAATTAACTTCAGAGAATTACGCTAAACCCTAAACCCGAAGGCACATGTTTTACATGCTCTTTGAGGTTCCACGAAAATGGGCGATGGAGGGGCGGAGGCAATAGCGCAAGCATTGCTGCTCGGCTGTTTCGGGTGTGCCCTATGCGGTAACCCTTTTTGAAGCCCTGAACCGTTCGGTCTGTGGCGCAGAAACCTTAGAGCAAGGAGGCGTCTCTGAGAGCTTTAGGATGAGGCACAGCGGGATTCTATCAAGACAACTTAAATGTACAACCTCAATGTCAAGGCACCTACACCCTAAACCCAAACTGGGTTCTTGTTAAGGGGGTTATTTTAAGTTACCATACTAGGGATCTATAGTAAATAATAGGGTTTCCTTATTGCGGCAACTCCCCCTAAACCCTAAACCCTTAACAGCAAGAACCCAGGCAAACGTAGGGGCCCTCCCGTGCCTTTCAAAGGATCTAGGGCCGCAGGGACGTAGCGGCTTTTGTTGGGAGGGGACAGGTGGGGGGGGGGGGGGGNNGGGCTCAGGGTTTAGGGCTTTGGGGCTTTTAGGGTTTAGGGTTTAGGGCTGGGGCTTAGGTGTAGGGCTCAGGGCTCAGGGTTCAGGGTTTAGGGTTCGGGCTTAGGGTTTAGGCTTTTGGGTTTAGGGTTTAAGGGTTTTAGGGCTTTAGGGTTTAGGGTTTAGGGTTTATGGCTTTTGGGTTTACGGTTTTGGGGTTTAGGGTTTAAGGTTTAGGGCTGGGGCGTAGGGTTTAGGGTCTAGGGTTTAGGGCTTACTTGGGTCTCATAAGGGTTTTAAGCTTTACAAGTTGGCCTTGTCGATTAGCTACTGTAGTGCGGCCTTCAATCTGTTAAAGTATGTTTCAGCCGACCCTAAACCCTAAACCCTAAACCCAGTCCTCTGACCCTAAACCTTACCCTAGAAACCTAGGGGTCCATGTGCCCAAATGTGTAGATGCTTTGGCCTTAAAGTAGTCCCTATAGATGTAATTTGGGGCCAATGTATATACTATATGAGTACATGGACCCTTAAACCCTAAACCCTGTAGAGCCCTTATGGACCCCTAAAACCTATAGAACCCTAAACTCTAAACTTTATAGAACCCTTATGGACCCCTTGAAAGCAACCCTTAAAGGGATCCTGTATGGGCCCCTTAAAGGAACGCTTAAAGGGACCCTGAAGGGTAACCCTAAACCTTAAACCCTAAA